CTCTTCCGGAAAAAGCGACTTTACTGCGAGAAAGTAATTTTTCAGAAAACCGAAGAAACTTCTACTTGTAATTAAACAATGGAATAAACAATTAACGGGTTAGAAATGATATAACCGTTGATATATTTCAGCTACTTTGTCCTATTCGAAGAATCAGGTACCGTTAGGTCGCTCTTGCAGGAAGAAAATTTTTCCAGAGAAGAAAGGAACTTTTGCTTGTAATTAAACAATAAAAGAAATATTTTACGAGCTACTAATAACGTAATTATAAATTTAGTTCAATCGTTTCTCAAAAAATGTCCCGATTCTCGTAACACTTTAGCAGGAAAATAATTCCTTAGACAATTAAAACAAATTTCTATTTTCAAAATTAAATAACCAAAATACACATTTCACGATTTTTAAACCAAATTAATTAAACTTCACTCTAATCACAGGATCAGATCCTTCTTAACTTAAAAATATCCCAGTCCACTGTTTACGCAACTCTCCACCTCAAGGTTGAATTCTAATTTCTCAAGACTATGGCAGGAAAGTATTTCCTTACAATTAATCAATAAAACAAATTTCTATTCCCAAAATTAAACAATTAAAATATACATTTCACGATCTTTAAATTTTAATTAAATTTCATTTTAATCACAGGATCAGATCCTTCTTAACCTAAAAATATTCCAGTCCACTGTTTACACAACTCTTCTCTCTGAGGTTGAACTCTAATTTCTCGACATTATGACAGGAAAGTATTTCCTTAAAATTAGTCACTAAAACAAATTTCTATTCCCAAAATTAAACAATTAAAATATACATTTCACGATCTTTAAATTTTAATTAAATTTCATTTTAATCACAGGATCAGATCCTTCTTAACCTAAAAATATTCCAGTCCACTGTTTACACAACTCTTCTCTCTGAGGTTGAACTGTAATTTCTCGACACTATGACAGGAAAGTATTTCCTTAAAATTAGTCACTAAAACAAATTTCTATTCCCAAAATTAAACAACCAAAATATACATTTCACGATCTTTAAATTTTAATTAAATTTCATTTTAATCACAGGATCAGATCCTTCTTAACCTAAAAATATTCCAGTCCACCGCTTACGCAACTCTCCTCCCCGAGATTGAATTCTAAAATAGCGAGAGACCTCGAGTCTGATATTTCGAAAACGGAAGACCAGATTAGGATCCCGGAATTAAATTTAGAAACGAAGAAACCTGGTCGAAGGCATCGTCGGTACAGGCAATTTAATTAAATTTCATTTTAATCACAGGATCAGATCCTTCTTAACCTAAAAATATTCCAGTCCACCGCTTACGCAACTCTCCTCCCCGAGATTGAATTCTAAAATAGCGAGAGACCTCGAGTCTGATATTTCGAAAACGGAAGACCAGATTAGGATCCCGGAATTAAATTTAGAAACGAAGAAACCTGGTCGAAGGCATCGTCGAAGAATTCTTCGCGGACGTGTACCTGGCTCCCGATTCTGTCTTAATCCGGTCCCGCGTCGTGATCTAAGCCTATTCCGTATTTCGTTCGAATTTCGTGAACAGGAACAAGCCCCGATCCACGAACAGGTAGCCGACGAACGTGACCGCGCATACGCGGAGTCGCCGACACGGTGACCCTGAGGAAAACGTGTCGCAAGTTCCAACAATCTCGACGCACGCGTCGCGACGTAACCCACTTGGCGTCCGATCGAAAACGCGAGATCTCACTTTCCGCCGTGGGCGCAGCCGCTTACCCTCGATACACGGATCCATGGATCTTCCGGTAGACGTTCTCCATCGACGTTCTACGGTTCTTCGACTAATGGCGAACGGTTAACTAATGAATAATAGAAACGGTACTTACACTAGAATTTTAATGGTAATTTTATCGTATTCTACTTGTTACTACACGCCAAACTAAATATAGACGAATAATTTCGGATATTTAGTTTGTTCGTAAGAAAATTTCCAAGTCAAATATAAAATAAATATATCAAATACAAAACAAAAATTTTTGAGTCAAATATAAAATAAATATATCAAATACAAAACAAAAATTTTTGAGTAAAATACAAAATAATTTTTTAATATTTCTTTTTAGATATTCTAAAGTCGAAGTTTTAGTGTTTGATTTTCCTCATTTCTTTCCTATTTTTGAGGGAAAAATTGAGGAGAGTGAGGAGAGAATATCCGCGAAACACAGTTTAGTTTATTACTAGTGATATGTGTAACAATTTCGGATATGTAGTTTGTTCGTAAGAAAATTTCCAAGCCAAATATAAAATAAATATATCAAATACAAAACAAAAATTTTTGAGTCAAATATAAAACAATATTTTAATATTTCTTTCTAGGTATTCTAAAGTCGAAGTTTTAGTGTTTGATTATTCTCATTTCTTTGGAGAGTTGGGAGAGAATGTTCGCGAAACATAATTTAGTTTATTACTAGTGATATGTATAACAATGTTCCGTTAAATATTCTTCCAAATATCCGCAATTAGGTTTAAATCACCTATTTTAGCGATAAAACACTTGTAAGTGTGTTTGAAAATTCGGGAAGAAACTTTATCGCAAAGGTATTATAAACCATAGAGAGAACCAATTATACAAATCACGTGTCATTTGCAACTATGTGTGTTTGTATGATAAAACTCGTTTAGCTAAATCTTCGAATTTAGAGTGGCATTTCATTGCGAAAGTGTGTTAAACGAAGGAAGAAAAGAGCATTGCAGCCCTGTCCTATTCGACGTTTCGCAAGCGAGCGTACAGTTGAATGGTCGAATTATCCACTGACACAGCAGCATGTACGCTAGCCGTATAATGGCGTCCTCGGCTAACTCGAGGAACGCAGGCCATCTTCGAAGGCTGGTCGACGCGTGTGCGTTGAATCGAGGCGGGATGATCACTCTCGCTTGCTCAACGAGCTTTCGCAATCGAATCATCGCGAATGTTCGCGACTTATCGGTCCAGGAGGGTGGCTGTGTCGCGAGGGATTACTTTTCTTCGCGGTTTTTCTCGGTTTCCAGGATAAAAGATCGCTGCGTGATGTAATCACGCTGTGAGCAGCTGGAGATAATTCAAGCGTTAAGCTTCGAGTTTTTAGCGATCGACGTGGAAAAGGTCAGTCCGGTTTTCTTATGTAACGCTAACTCGGACATTTTGAAACGCCATTTTCTACCTCTCGTCCGCGATCCCGCCTCGGTGACAATTATC